TAATGAACCCTGATAGCTTCAGCAATAAACTCATGACCAGTCTGGTTTTCACCTGTGTCCATTTCTTTGGATCATTTAGATGTAAATCCAAGCTATACAATTTTATTTATAAATGTTTCAGTATATATCCCTAAAAGATGAAGATCTTAAAAAATTATTGTAGCCCAAAATGGTGGCACAGGCCTATAATCCCAGCACTCAAGAGCCTGAGGTCAGGGAATTACCATGAGTTCAAGGCCAGCCTGAACTACAGAGGGAAACTCTGTCTCAAATAGATATAGTTCAGTATCAAAACTAACTTTAATAATTCATCAATATACTTTTTCCAATGGTCTCATTTAAAAATTAGATTGAAAAAGAATCCAAAATAATTATAATTGACAGATTTGTATTCTAAGTTTCTGTTAACCTAAAGGTTCCCTTCCCTGATCTTTTTTCATCTTGCTATTTATTTATTAAGGAAGCAAGGTTTTTTGTTCCCTATAGTTGCATACCTTTTGAATTTTTCTGATTCATTGTTGTGATGACATTTAGCAGTTTCTTATTCCTATTTTTCCTATAGTCTAGTAGTTAGCTCTGGGAGCTTACTATGATTCAAGATCAATATTTGAGGTAAAATTATTTCATAGGTGAAGATGTGTATGTAAGTATAAAATGTCTAAAATTCTCTATTTTTCTTTTCTTTTTTATTTTAAAAGGAATAAAACAAAATAATAAAATGGAACAAAACACAACAGTGAGAACAATATTGGATTTCAAAAACAAGACAGAAGGACATCCCCCATAGTTGCTATATTGCATATTGTTATCCACTAAATAGATGCTCAGACTTCCAGTGTTAGGCTTATAAAGACTATCAAACAATACAGGCATTAAGTTGTTTTTATACTTCAGTTGCTGCATTCTCAGCCTGTGATCCTCTGAATCAGCTGGGTTTTTTTTGGAGGGGGAGGGGCTCTGCAGATCTTCCATGCACTGGCTGGCTCATCGCGGGGAGCAGGTTGGCTTCATGGTTTTCCTCCTGGCCCACGACTGTAGTTGGCTCACAGGGTTGGCTTCTTGGTTCTCCTCCTGGCCCATATGACTGCTGCTCAGCATTTTCTAATCTTGGGAGACATTGATGATCACTACGTACATTCATTATTTTATTGGGGATTGGAGATTGGTGGCATTCTAGAATTACTTCTGTATTAATAGCAACATGTTATTATTTCTTTATTATTAACTAGATTATGCTATGTGGAAACACAGCACGCTTAAAATGAACAGAGAGTTGGGGGCTGGGGATTTAGCTCAGCGGCATAAGTACCTGCCTTGCAAGCAGGCAGTCGTGAGTTTGATCCCCGGTACCGATAAAAATGAAAAACACACACACAAAAAAAAAAAATGAACAGAGAGTGTGTTCATGTCTTCTTATATGTGTGTATGAACCCATGCATTAGAATATTGATCCTGCTCTGTTTTCCATATCTACTTCCCTCTTTTCTTCTCCTTTTCCAGAGTATTTGCTTTTCTTCCTTCCTTCTTTTCTTTCTTTCTTTCTTTCTTTCTTTCTTTCTTTCTTTCTTTCTTTCTCTCCTTCCTTCTTTTACTCAGGCTTCTGGCAAGAGAGAACAGGGCGAGAGTGGGCAGGAGTGGAAGCTGGGAGTCATATTAGGTGGATTTTGCAATAATCCAAACAAGAGATGATGGTGGTTTGGGACAGGAATGTAGGAGGTGAGAAGTAACTGAATTCAAAATAGGAAGTGTGGTTAAAAAAATTAAAAATATATAATATTTACACAGTGGTTAATGTTTATTATTTTTAAAAATACATTACAATAGAGAACACATTGCCTTTAATTTATCTCAAAAATCTCCCCCCTTGCTCCCAACATGCATATCCCATCATTCTAACCATTTTCTGAAGCAGTTCTAGAAGTCCTCTGTCCTGAGTGTCTTTAGTTGAGCTTTTGTGGCTGGCTGTCTTGATGCCTAAACGGATTCAAAATGTTTATCCTTTGTGTCATTTTGATTTTGGGGAAGAGCACAAGCTAAACAGTGCCAGGCTTGGTGAGCAAGGAGGAGGACACATTACAAGGCTTTTATGAGCCTACCTTCCTGTTGGACTGGCGCTTGGGAGCAGCATTCTCTGTAATTTTTGTATTTTTTTTAAAAACACAGTTCATAAAACACAAAAGAGTACTTCAAGAACTGCTTCAGAAAGTGGCAAGAAGCCAGGTCTTACACCTATAATCCCAGCACTTGGGAGGCAGAAGCAGGAAGATTGCTGTAAATTTGAGGCCATTCTGGGCTATCTAGTGAGTTCAGGGCCAAATGTAAACTAAGCAGTGGAAAGGGGGGGGGGGCGGCGTGGAGATTAGAATAAGAAGCTAGCACAAATGCAGTGGGCTTATAGCTCATCGAATGACAATGCTTATGCCACTGAACAGATTCACGTCAGCAAGAGAGAGATCTTGAGTGTGTTTCCAGGGCTCTGTGCATTATCAAACTGCCTTTTTATCAATGACTAGGGTCATCTTAGCCTTGACGCAAAGTTAGATATGAGCTAAAGTGTTAGATACAAAAGTACACTCCAAAAGATGAGAAATCTAGGAATTAAGCCATGGAAGATGATGTTAACATAAATGAAGTCTTGAAAATTTGAACTGTCTGGGTTAATATCCATTTGAGAAATCACTTATTATTAAGATTTGGCTCAAATCTTAATCATCTTCCTTTAATTAACCCCAATAACTTTCCAGTTTATAAATTGATACAGTACTGCCTTACTCAAAGTGTTGTTGTGAAAATTAAATGAAATGATGTGGCATTTAATAAATGACAGAGGAGACTTTTTTCTATTTATTTATTTTAAATTAGGTACTAGCAAAAATTGGAGTGTGGGATGAGTTTTTCATTTCTTTCTTTCTTTTCTTTTTTTTTTTGTGGTCTTTTTCCTTTTTATCGGTACTGGGGATCGAACTCACGACTGCCTGCTTGCAAGGCCAGAATAGGCCTACAGAGTCTCTTGGATAGCAAACATTTCTTCCCCAGAATGAGGCTCCTTGCTGGCCCCCAATCCCAACTGGAAATCAGCTCCCTCCCATCTACTCCCCCCCCCTGCTTGTCCTCCTTCTGCCTGAAGCTTACAAATCAATTTCATGGTTTCTAGACATGTAAGCCATTTCAGATCAACAAATGCCCTTTTATACATATGAGGACCACATTTAGTGAAACTAGTAAGTATTGCTCATATGAGTCTGTAGGATTTGAAAACAGTCTTTTCCTATTCCTTTAGACCTACAAAGTCATCGTGGTTCAACCCCAGTACCACATGTGCACAGTCACGCACACACACACACACACACACACACACCCCTTAAACATAGGGATATGTTCTATAAAAACAAATTCTACTAAAAATGACATCATTAGAACCATTTATATGGTAATTTTGTCTGACAGTGACTTTAATGATGAATAGCTTTCACGTATATGTTCAGAAATTTCTTACACAATGAAACATGAAACAAATTCTAATTACTTGGCTAAAAGCTAATCTGTCAACATGAAATAAATGAGCCCAAATAATAAAGATGCAAAATATATTGAAGGAATAAAATGTACTTAAATATATACATGTTAGTGGTTGTTTATAACTTGCTTTTCTTATAAACATATTATTGACTAAAATGCATTTTTACTGACAGTGAATATAATTTTAATTTAACTCTGTTTATAGATACGTAGACAGCCATTACAATTGAATCAAGTTAATTGACCAACCCAAGAATGATAAATTGTTACTCTGAAATAATCTTACTTATTATACATAGATACCATAGAGAAAATGCATTTCATAAACATGAAACATAATAATTCTTATGGCTGCCACATTTATGTAGTGATGGTAATTTAGATCTCTCTACTTAGTTCTGTCCATGAAGTTTTTTTTGTCATTTAAATCAGAAACTGAGGCCAAATTCTGTGCCAGTTCTGGTGTTAGCCAAATGTATTTATGTAGGTCAGCTTTTCTATCAGAAAGCTTCTCCTGCCTTTCCCTCTCTGCTAATCAGTTTATTTCAAGGGTTCCAAATAAGAAAACCCAAAGGTTCTTCTTTTCTGGGCCTTCCTTTTCCCTTACATAAATCTCTCTTTCTTCGAGAGAAATGGTTCTGCTGGCAGAGTAGGAATCCATGCACTGCCGTGTCCTGGCTATGTGACCAGAGCAGGTGACGTGTTTGCCTCGTCTCATTTCCTCATGAGAATGACAGCAGAAATACAGGTCTCATGGAACACTGTGAGGGTGAAGTAGAGATGGGCTCAGCATCCAGGAAGCACTATGCAAATAGTCATTATTTTGCACATCCTGGTTTTACTGATTGGTTTATGAAAATATTATATACATGCAGAAAGATAGTGGCACAGGCATGGAATCCCAGCTACCTGGGAGGCCGAAATGGGAGGTCTGTAAGGATGAGGTCAGCCTGGGGATTTTGAGACCCTGTCTCAAAATGAAATAAAAAGTTTCAAGGATGTAGCTCAGTGCTCTCTGGGCTCCATCCACAGAACTGCAGAAATTCAAAAATTAAATAAACCTGTGTAACAAGCACACAAATCACCAAACAGAAACTAGTATCTAATTGACCTCCTCAGGCCCCTTCTAGTTACTGCCCCTGTCTAATCTTAACCAGCACCTTTACTTCTGATTTATTTATTCATTTATTTTTGAGGCAGGGTCTCACTGTGCAATTCAGGGTGCCCTCAGCTTACTTTGTAGCTCAAGGTGGTCTCGAATGCACAACAATCCTCCTGTCTCAGCCTCCTGAGTGCTGGGATTACAGGTGTTCACCACAATACCTGGCATTGATTCATTTAATTAATGGTTATTTGTAATTGATATTACAGCAATGGATAAGGGGTTTATTTTGATAACGTTTTTCTTTTTATTTAGTACATAAGACTTAACCGTATGTGTTGATTACTGCTGTTTAACATAGCTGTATTTTGTTTGCTAGGTTGAAAAAGCTCCTTGAACAAGAAAAAGCTTACCAAGCCCGCAAAGAAAAGGAAAATGCTAAGCGGCTCAATAAACTGAGAGACGAGCTTGTCAAACTCAAGTCCTTCGCACTCATGCTGGTGGATGAGAGGCAAATGCATATTGAGCAACTTGGCCTGCAAAGCCAGAAAGTTCAAGATCTTACCCAGAAGCTAAGGGAGGAAGAAGAAAAGCTCAAAGCTGTTACTTCCAAATCCAAAGAAGACAGGCAGAAACTGCTCAAGTTAGAAGTGGACTTTGAGCACAAGGCCTCCAGGTTTACTCAGGAGCATGAAGAAATGAATGCCAAGCTGGCCAACCAGGAGTCTCACAATCGACAACTTCGACTGAAGTTGGTTGGCTTATCTCAAAGAATCGAGGAGCTGGAAGAGACCAACAAAAATCTCCAGAAGGCAGAGGAAGAGCTTCAGGAACTAAGAGACAAAATTGCCAAAGGGGAATGTGGCAACTCCAGTCTCATGGCGGAAGTGGAAAATCTCCGAAAGCGCGTGCTTGAGATGGAGGGTAAAGATGAGGAGATCACGAAAACGGAGACCCAGTGCAGGGAGCTGCGGAAGAGGCTGCAGGAGGAAGAACACCACAGCAAGGAGCTCAAACTCGAAGTGGAGAAGTTACAGAAGAGAATGTCTGAGCTGGAGAAACTGGAGGAAGCCTTTAGCAAGAGTAAGTCGGAATGCTCCCAGCTCCACTTGAATTTGGAGAAAGAAAAGAACTTAACCAAAGACTTGCTGAACGAGTTGGAGGTGGTCAAGAGTCGAGTTAAAGAACTCGAATGTTCTGAAAGCAGATTAGAAAAGGCCGAACTAAGTCTCAAAGATGATCTTACAAAGTTGAAGTCATTTACTGTGATGCTGGTTGATGAAAGGAAAAACATGATGGAGAAAATAAAGCAAGAAGAGAGAAAAGTGGATGGACTCAATAAAAACTTTAAGGTGGAACAAGGGAAGGTGACGGATGTAACTGAAAAATTAATTGAAGAAAGTAAGAAGCTCTTAAAACTGAAGTCTGAAATGGAGGAGAAAGTGTACAGTTTGACCAAAGAGAGAGATGAGCTGATAGGTAAACTGAAAAGCGAAGAAGAAAAATCCTCGGAATTAAGCTGCAGTGTGGACTTACTAAAGAAGAGACTCGATGGGCTAGAGGAAGTAGAAAGAGAAAGAAGAGGAAGGTCTCGAAAAGGACCCGAGCTCACCTGCCCAGAGGATAACAAGATAAAGGAGTTAACTCTTGAAATCGAGAGACTGAAGAAACGCCTTCAGCAGTTGGAGGTGGTGGAAGGGGATTTGATGAAGACGGAGGATGAGTACGATCAGCTGGAGCAGAAATTCAGAACTGAGCAGGACAAGGCCAACTTCCTGTCTCAGCAGCTAGAGGAGATCAAGCACCAAATCGCCAAGAACAAGGCGATAGAGAAAGGGGAGGCAGTGAGCCAGGAGGCCGAACTGAGGCACAGGTTCCGGCTGGAAGAGGCCAAAAGTCGAGATTTAAAAGCCGAGGTGCAAGCGCTTAAAGAGAAGATCCACGAGTTAATGAACAAGGAAGACCAGCTTTCCCAGCTCCAGGTAGACTATTCAGTTCTTCAACAAAGATTTATGGAAGAAGAAAATAAGAACAAGAGCATGGGTCAGGAGGTGCTCCATCTGACCAAGGAGCTGGAGCTGTCCAAGCGCTACAGCCGCGCGCTGCGGCCCAGCGTAGCGGGGCGCAGGATGGTGGACGTGCCGGTGGCGTCCACCGCGGTGCAGACCGAGGCCCCGGGCGGCGAGGCGGCCGAGGAGGAGTCGCCGGCCGTGTTCATCCGCAAGTCCTTCCAGGAGGAGAAGCATCTCATGAGCCACCTGCGCCAGGGGGCGCTGCGGAGGCCCGCGGGGCGCGGCTCGGTGCTGGATCGGTATCCGCCGGCGGCGGGCGAGGGCGCGCGGCGCGGGACTTGGGCGCCCTGGGCACGGGGGCGCGTGGACCCCGACCCCGGCTCGCAGGAGGGGCGCCCCGATCCCGGGGGGCTAGTGCTGGCACCCCGGCACGGCCAGCCGTTGCACATCCGCGTGACGCCGGAGCGCGGGGGCAGCGCGGCCACGTTGGAGATCACTCGCCCGACGCCAGAGGAGTTCTTCTCCAGCACGGCGGTCATCCCCACGCTCGGCAGCCAGGCGCCCCGCATCACCATCGTCCCCGCGCCGGGCGTCGACCCCGAGCGCGCCGCGTCCCCCGTCACCATCACCACCCTGTCGCGGGAGCGGGCGACGGATGGGCGCGCGTCGCCCCTACAAGTGCGCACGGTGGCCACGGCGCCCGCGCCTGCGGAGACCGCAGGGACCCCGGTGTCCCCAGGGCCTCAGGAGGCACCCGCAGGGAGGACGGTGCTCAGGGTCACCCCAGAGAAGCAGCCGGGCCCGTCGGCGCCGCGGAGGTACAACGCCAATGCAAGCATCATCACCACGGAGGACAACAGAATCCACATCCACCTGGGCGCGCAGGGCGAGGGCGCGAGCCCCGTGATCACCGTGCGGCCCGCGGGCAGGGAGGCGGCCCCGAGCCCCGGCCTCCGCGCCCCCCGCGGGACCCCCGCGGTGCGGCCCAGCACAGCCAAGGTGACCAGCACTATCACCATCACGCCTGCCACCACTGCATCCACGCGGGGCACCCAGGCGGCGGTGAGCTCAGGTCCCCCGGGGGCAGGCCGGGGACACTGATCCAGGAAAGCCATACGCCCCCATCTCTGATAAATTGGGCCAGTTTTGAGGGAAATTTTCATTTATTCATGGCAAACAAGTATGGAGATCCTTCAGACTACTTACACAGACTGTCTTTTGGGAAACAGCATAGAATAATCTCATTTTAAAATTTGATTTTTTATTAAGGCCGGGGATTTAGCTTAGCGGCCTGACAAGCACGAGATTGTGAGTTCAATCCCCGGTACCAAAAGTAAAAATAAAATTTGATGTTTAGTCAGGCGTGGTGGCGCACACCTGTAATCCTAGCACTGTAGGGAGACTGAGGCAAGAGGATTGCAAATTCAACCCAGCCTGGGCTATTTATTTTGGTGCCTGGAATCAAGCGCAAGAGCGTGCGCTTGCCAGGCAGGTGCTTGTGCCTCTGAGCTAAATCCCAGTCCCTTAATTTGTCAATTTAGTAAGACTCTGGAACAAACAAAAAACAAACTGGAGCCATTGTTCAGTGTAAAGGCCTTAAGTAAAAATACATATGTTTACAATATATTTTTAAAATGGAGACTAAGGAAAGTGCTTAATATGTTGGAAGAAGTAAAACTTCCTAGGTTGCTTGGATTTGGTGGTGCAGGCCTATAATCCCAGAGGCAGGAGGATGCTTGCGGTTGGAGGCCAGCCTGAGCTGCATAGAGACCCTGTCTCAAAACCAAAATACTTCCTAAATGATATTTATACAAACTAAAGTATTCGATGTGTGATTATACACACACACACACACACACATCCACAGTCATACTTTATTCTGAAAATATGATTAAAAGTATTTTATATTAAAAACTTTTTTGTGAGGCAGGAAAATTGCTGAGAGTTTGAGGCCAGATCAGGCTAAATAGTGAGTTCAAGGCCAGCCTGCACTACCTAGTGAGACAAAAAACAAACCAAAAAGGAACAAAAAAAAAGAAAAAACAAATTTCTTTGTCTCTCTCTGAGTGTGTGTGTGTGTGTATAGCATTGGGGATTGAATCTAAGGTGTTCGTACTGAGCCCCAGCTCCCTTCACCTTTTATTTTGAGAGAGGGTCTCACTATGTAGTGCTAAATTGCCCAGTTTGTACTGAAACTTGCAATCCTCCTGCCTCAGGCTTTTACAGATATGTGTTCTCATGCTGGCTTACATTAAAAACTTTTTTTTGTTGTTGTTACTGGGGATTGAACTCACAACCTCGCGCTTGCCAGAGGTGCTTAAGCCATTGAGCTAAATCCCCAGCCCTACATTAAAAACTTCTAAAAACTAAAACAAAGGAGTTTATATTGTGAAGAACTATATTTAATCATATCTTGCAAAGAGCAAATGCTACACAGTATTGATTCTTATGACTAGCTGGAATGGTTATAAAAAAAATGACCAAAGTACAAACTCTAAAGCTTCCAAACAAATTACGTTTTTAATATATGCCCAGTAATTATTTTCACTGACAGGCTACAATTCTTATAGAAGAATGTGAACTATTTAGATATTAATTTAAGCAAAATAGACTAGAAATTATGACTCCTCCACTTTAAACAAATTTTGTAGCCTCTTAAGAACATAGAAAGCTAGTACTTTAAATGTACAAATGATAAGCTTATTTCCCGTATCCTCAGTATAACTTATGTTAATTCTCTGTACACAAGAGCATCCTCAAGAGAAACTTTGGAGTATGAATTACTAATTGTTTCACTGATAAAGCACTAAGGTATCAGTTCCACAGGAGCCAAATCACAGCCAGAATGTTCACCTTTCTCAAATAACTCAGAACTGCCCTTTAGGAACAGCATAATTGCTTCCCTAGGCTCTTGCTTCTTTCTGCTTCATTTTATTAAAAAAAGAAAAAAGGAGGTTTTTGAACACATGGGGAAATAACTGAGGGATTCTGTGGGTAAATGGAAAAGATTAGAAAGGGCTGAGAATAGGGCCTGGTGGACATCTAGAAGACACAGAAGGTAGAGTAAGCAGTCATAAGAGCCTGGCAGGAAATTGCTGAGACGCACCAAGAAAGCACAGCAAGAGAAGGTGAGGACCATTTTAAGAAGAAAGGTGTGGTCTGCAGTGACCCTGAAAACTGAGAGAAGTCCGAGGTCCTTAGGAAGCAAAAGGGAGCTGCTTCATCTGACTGGTAGACAGGAGGGAAGGGGGGTGTGGTGTGGTGGTGTAGGAGTAACCAATACAGAGGTCTGGGAGTTAGTATGAGGGTCATCAGCAGAAAGAGTGGAAGAGGTAGGATAGAATTTGGGAAGAGGAGAAAGTTCATGAGATGTTTCAAGAAAGGAAAAAACGAGATAAACAAAGCAGAGTAAACACCAACTCTGACTTTTTTTTTTTTTTTCATCCTTTTGAGACAAGGTTTTACTATGCAGTTCAGGCTGGCCTTGAGCTCACTTTGCAGTGATCCTCCTGCCTCAGCCTCCCAGATTACAGGCCATCGCCACCCTGCCTGGCAACTCTGAACTTCTTGCAGTGCATCACCTGCGCGTGTTCCTGTGTATTAGGGGTCCTCTGATGTTCAGACTGGCAGCCTGTCTGTGGGAACCTCACTGCGGGACTGATGACCTGTCTCCCTTGTGTCTCTGTGTTCTCTTCCAGTCAGGACAAGATGGGTCATCCCAGCGGCCTGCACCCACACGAATTCCTATGTCAAAAGGTATGAAAGCAGGAAAGCCAGTAGTGGCAGCCCCAGGAACAGGAAATCTGACCAAATTCGAGGCTCGAGCTGAGACTCAGTCTATGAAAATAGAGCTGAAGAAATCTGCAGCCAGCAGCAGTACTTCTCTTGGCGTGGGGAAGGGCTGAGGGCAGTGGCCCGGGGGTATGTTGCGCAGATGCTACTGCTGCCACCAAACTGAACTTCGCCTGTTTGTGCCAACCCTTGATACATACTAATTTAAGTCTTAATTATTTTGTTTATAAAATAACCAACTAATAGCCATGTGTCTTTCCTGTTTTGTGCCTTTGTTTGGATGTTGGGGAGCAGAATTAGCTGTTTGCCGTGTGATATGTTAAGGATGCTGGACCAGTGAAGGGTTAGGTTGCTAGGCTCAGTTCTGCCTCTAGCACTGGATGTGTCCACTAGCCCACCAGTCAGGCTTTAACAGTAGCTTTGGGGGCTGAATCATTGCTCTTGAAAGATGGCTGTCATATTTTCTTGTCATAAGCAAAATTGAAAACACTTTGTTTACAGTTTTTAAAAAAAACACTTTATGAAGTAGGACACAGTTTAACAGTTGTCTACCAAATCCTGAACTTGATATATGTGCTAGGGAGAAACAAACAAACAAACAAACAAACTCATAGCTATTCCAGGGCCTAGAGCACTAAAGTTTCGCAAAAATTAAAAAAAAAGTCTTTAATATGATTTCAGGAAATATTTGAATGTAAAATAAAATGAAAATGAACTGTGGAATCCTAAAAACAGAGTTTGACTTCTTTGTGTGTGTCTGTGTATATTTTAGATGTTTTGGACACTTCCAAAAAGTTCCCAGAATTTCATAGACAATAATTTTAGAATCATAATGTCAGATTCATGCTCCATTCAAGTGTGCAACTGCTTTAAATTGTGGAGCAGTTTGAATAGAGCTATCAAAGGGCCCTTTATAGCTAAACAGAAATTGTGATGGATTGAAAATAACCGAAAATAAACTCAGATACATTAACACAGGGGGCGGGGGAGACATAGAACCAGTTCATGATTTCTGCTGGGGTGTGTGTGTGTGTGTGTGTGTGTGTGTGTGTGTGTGTGGTGTGAAATACATTGTGTTTCTGTCAGTTTTACTCTTGTTTGAATAATTTTCTGTAGTTTGCAAGCATGTTATAATAAGCATGCGGAGTGTGAATGCGAATGTCAACTGTCCTGTGAGACTAACCATGTTAGATCTTCCTGCTGTGTAGTCATATAAGCATAAATGAGCTCAAGGCTAGTAACCCACAGCTTAGCATACCAAAGTCTCATTAGGCTATAGCTTTGCCAAAATTTTTGAGCCAAGTAGATGAACTGTACGAAAATATAACTGCACAGTAATAGATTTTTGTTTTGTTACTTTTGAATTGCTAGAGTTCCAAAATTATATGGATGTAGTCCCTGATCTTGATATTGTGAAAAGACATGTATATTTTAAAAAAGACACATGATTGGATCTTAGTCCATTGTGTTGGTTTGTTTTCCCATCACTGAGCTATAATATTCAATATCTACAGTTTAAAGAAGGAAACATTTAATTTAGCTTGTGATTGCAGGAGATGCAGCCATGGTCGGCTGCCTCCACGACAAAACATCATGGCGGAAAGGTGTGGTGGAACAAAGATGTTCAGTTCCTAGCAGCCTGGAAGCGGGGCAGGGGAGCATTTCCAGAGAGGAAAAGCCCAGGCGCCAGATTAAGTACTGAAGGCCCGGCCTCCGTGAGCCACCCAGACATATGCAAGAACATGCTGGGCTCTTCTTAATACAATGAAGTTAACATTTCAGAATTAACAGTCACATCCACAAATCAACTTATTTCATGACAGATAAACTCCTCTGCCTTCTTTCCCACACCAGATTTCGCATGCCTTGCAGAATTTGGACTTGGACTGCGGTGATGATATGTATAGATGCTTCATGATGTTGTTCACATGCACTTTACTCAGACTTGTCATCATTTATCCATCAGTTCTCAGCATATGTATTAAAAATGTAGAATATTAAAAGCATGCGGTAGCAATGGGAATGGAAGGTCAAAGAAGAGAGGGAAAGTAAGGAAAGTTTAATAATATGATTTTAAGTAAATTTACCTAAAAGAGCTTGCCATTTTGAATACTGGCTTATGTTTTTAATGAAATTTATCTCCTTTCAAAATATGGACATCCAACCTCTTCAAAGACAAGAACATTCAGTGTTTTTGGAGATACCTTCCTGGCATTTGTGAAATATTTGAGCAAATGAGGCTGTCTAAAGGATTGTACTCTGATCCTCTTAGACTCCATCAGCCATTCCCTAACGACTTTCAGCATAATCTTAGGGTCACTTGCTGGTGTTTCTGCTTTTACCTTGTCACGCCATGTTGACATCATTGTCACCTAGAAGTCCAGACCATTTGCTCAAAAGTGCTGCGAAAGGCCTGGCAGTGCACATAACAGGATGTTTATACAGTGAGGTCAGGGCATGTAGCCATCCGCCAAGTACAACTGGTAGAAAACTCTGCTTCTCAACCCAGAGGCTCTTTTCAAGAATGATGAAAAGTAACTAATTTTCTGGGTAATTTTGGGTAGCTTTGTGTTAAACTCCGTTTTATAAATGATGCCCATGGAGGTTAAGAGGTGGAGGATTAAATGCACTCTGATTCCAGATTCCATTTGTGATCATAATGTTCTTAATATATTTGGTTGAATATGCTTTTGTAGAGATGAATGGAATTAAAAGTTTAGAGTCTTTTTTTCTGGCCAGAAACACGCTTTGTAGTAAAATAAATGGAATTTCACCCTAGTTGATGTCTGCAGTTACTACTCAGATCCCTGTGAAAACCTCCAGGATTAGGGACCCACAATCCCATGTTAAGTGCCTTCTCTGGATGTGCAGGGCTCAATCTAGAGCTGCTGAAGACTCTGGTCTTCCCTGCCTGAGAATAATTGTAATATGTGGACCATTTAGATGCATAATGATAGTGGCTTCCTCATATATATAGTGCAGAAATGCTCTGATATGGACTATGATGTTTGTCATGTCTTAAGGATATGTGTTTCATATCTAGGATATTGTTTAAATATTAAATAGGATTATGCAGTTTCTGTTGGCATTTCTGTTACAGTTGATGTGTGCAGCTGGGCTCTCTCTAGACAGTATGTTGTATTCATCAATGGTGTTACCAGATCTCTGGGGGTTACCAGGCCTCTTAATACTTGCATACCACTAGGAAGGAAATGAAATAGCTTTGATGTACAGTGTGAGTGAAATGAACACATCTCATTTCACTGCACTTCCCTTCATTTCATTAATATAAGAACATGTCTCGGGAATTCAAAGGCCTGAATTTCACATTCTTTCATTATTGCACAATACTGGGGAATGAATGAGACTTTTCTGAGTGTGAAAACCACAGGGTTATAGATCAGAAGAGTACATGACTACTTAGGTGTGTAAGTCAGTGGTAAAGTGCCTGTGCATATGGAAGGCCATGGGTTCAGTTCCCAGCACCACAAGGGGAAGGAGGAGGTACAGGAGGAGAAACAGGAATGGGAAGGGAGGAAGAAGAGCAGCAGAAGCATCCTAATTGTGTCACAAGCTGAAAGGAAAGAGATGGCAGGAGGTAGAAAGTGAGGGAGGGAGAGGAAAACAGGAGAGAGGAGAGAGAGAGAGAGAGAGAGAGAGAGAGAGAGAGAGAGAGAGAGAGAGAGAGATCTCCCAGGGAATAGGGACGAATGATTCTAAAATTTCCCCAATAAAGATAAGGTTTTCCTTCTACTTCCTCATTAGGATTTCATTGCTTATCTCTTTATCCTTTGCTGTTGCATTTAATATGCTATATCCACAGAGAATACAAATATTATCTGGTATCTTCCATTTTTCCTTCAGCTCTGCAGTCCTACACAGTTCCTGTGCCTTTCCCTCCCCTGCCCAGCTAAGCTGCCAACAAGACACGTAGCATTTTTTGCCTCCACTCTCACAGTTCCCATTTATTCGTTAATAATTTTTAATTTTTCTTAAAGGAACTTACATACATAATTAAAATACCAACCAGTGGTAAAAATCAATGAAAAGAGATTTGTTTTTTGCTTCTTTCTTTGACCCCCCCCAAACATTTTTAACTTTTAGCTGGTTTTTTTCTGGCATTTATCTCCATTTTTCTAAATAATGTACTGATACTCTGTTATGGTTCAGATCTAAACTGTTCATTCAAATTATGTGTCCAGAGGTGGGGCTTTGGAAGGTGACTGGACCATGGGAGTGCTATACTCACCAGGAAATGAATTCCTTGAGAAGTTCATAACTATTAGGGGGCAGGACCTAGTTGAAAGAAGTGGGTGACTGACGGTGTGTGCTTGGGAAGGTGTGTTCTCTCCAGCAACTCTCTCCACTCTCTCTACTTCCTGGCCCGTGCACTGAATGGCTTTCCTCCACCATGCCATTTCTGCCTTGGAACCATCTAACCATCAACTGAAACTTTTGAACCCATAAGTCAAAATAAACCTCTCCTCCTTGAGTTTTCAGTGTTATGTATTTTGTCCCAACAACAAAAATGTGGCTAATACATAAAACCAGTACCAGAGAACTGGGGTCATTGGTGTGGCTATGCCTTACCATGAGGTTCAGATGCCTTTGGAATTGGCTTCCCAGGGGGTAGTTGGAACCACTGTGGGCTAGAGAAGCCCTAGAATGCTTTAAGCAGAGCTCAATAGATGATTTGGGGGGAAACTCAAAAGACCAGTTTGCGGGTAGTAATGTCGGCAGTAAAGGCCGGGATCAGGAGGTTCCAATGGAAACAGTGACTCTCCTGGGAAGTGGGCTTAGAGGCCATTTGTGTTACATTCCGGCAAAGGGCTTCTCTACACTTTGCCTGTGTCCTAAGACTTTATGTGAGACTAAATGTAGCAATAGCAAACTAATAATTCTGGGAGGAAATTTCAAGACATCCCAACATTCAGGCTGTGGCATGGGGACTGCTGGCTGCTTTTAGCCAGATATACAATGACAACCAGGAGCAAAAAACAGAGGTGAAGGATTTGAAATATTCTTCAGGATTTTTCAGAAAGGAGGTACATGTAAAGTTTTAGCCAATGAGAGTGAACTTAAAAGATTAGCCCCACTGAAAAGATGCCAAGTTCTTTGAATCAGGACAAGAAGATGATTTGAGAGTATCCCAGAAATTGTCCTGACCCCACTCCATCACAGGTTTAAGAGTGTAAAAGGGTAAAATACTTTGCTTTGACAAGAAAGCCCCTGGGTGCCCTGCTCATTCATGATCATATAAGCCTAAATAACTGTTCCCAAAAGTTCATGCATCCAGAAACGAAGTAACTACAGCAACTGTAGGCCAAGGGGGCCAGACTAGTGTTCGGGCAATGTTGCTGGCTTTCCAAACATGCACAATGCAAGAGTTGTGAGGCCATTGGAAGGCCTGGGAGTGTATGTATCCCTGGGAGGGTGATATGTGAAGCTGTGAAGCCGAAGCCTAAGGTGCAGTGGAGACTCCAGGAAGATGAAGATGCCAGGCACATGGAAAGTCTGCTGAAGAAACCACTGACAGAAGTGGAGCCCCCTCAAGAGAAAACCGTGTGAGCAGTGACCAGCGAGACCAGAGAAGCAGGCCTGCCCAAGCCCGTTGGGGCACATCCTGCTGCCATGTGGTCCAGCTACTGCACATGGAGTTACAGGACTTAATATTTTCTTAGCTGAGTTTCAGTCTTGCTTTGGTCTGATTGCTTCTATTCCCCTATTCCTCCCTTTTGGAATGGAACTTATACCCTGTAGCATTATAGTTGGAACTATTTAACTTCCCTTTTGATTTTTACAGGGAGTCACAGCTGAGAATTTTTGAGTCTTAGAGGATACTTTGGACTTGAAGCTTTAAGCAGTGCAAGAATTGTTAACAGTTGCTGACTCTTGAAGATGGACTAAATGCATTTTACGTAATGAGATGGACATGAATCTTTTGGGGACAAAAGGCAGAATGCTATTAGTTCACATCTAAAATGTCCCTCAGAAGTCTCCTGCTCCGAGGTGGGGCTTTGGAGAGTGACTGGGTCATGGGGCACTACACTGACAAGGGAACTGACCCATTGGAGAGTTCATAGCCAAATGTTCTGTGTGGAAGTGGGGTCTCATTGAAGCAGGGGAGTCATTGGTGGCATGACCTGGAAGGCTGAGGTCCTGTCCCTGCCTCTTCCCTTTCTGCTTCCTAGCTGCTGTATGTTGTGCAGCCTTCCTCTACCAGGCCTTTTTCCTACGCTATTTCTGCTTTGGAGCATGTCAGCTATACACTGAACCTTCTGAAATAGTGAGCCAGGGCAACTCTTTCCACCTCACGTTGCAGGGGGTCGGATAATTTGTCCCAGCAATGGAAAAGTGAGTGGCTAATAAATACACTGACTTTTTATTTCTGTATTTTAGGTATTTTTGTCTTCCCATTTTGTTCTTGATACCTAAAGATTCAGCTTTCTCACTTGTCCCTTGTCTTCTCTCTTACTCCTCTTCCCAACATGGTTACATTTGGAACTTTTTAGATATATCAACAGTCAGTATTTAAACATTTATATATCTACATGTGCACAGTATAAACTTAAATATTGTTACTTTTCTGAGCCACGTAGTACACCATGAGTGAGCTTTCTTCTTCTTATCACTTTTCTCCCTTCAAAAGAATAATTGCTTTAATTTTTCATGTTTGGTTTTCCACGTATCTGCCTTCATTTTTTCCAAATGCTCTACTAGATTGACTGAAAACCTATTGGCAATTTTTCCAAACACTTAAATGCATTAGTTTCACATTTTCCCTTGGAAGCCATTCTAGTCTAGCACTCTGCTTCCCTGCTCTATCTGGACAGGTCAAACTCTAGGCCTGTTGTCGTTTTGTTTAAATTGGATTCTGTTTTCCTGATTCCTTATCTTCTGCTTCCTTCACCTGGTTTCTTGATTCCTTATCTTTGACTTCCTTCACCACTCCATCCATGTGTCCAACTTGGCACTCTGTGGAGACTGGTGAAAAGCCATTCCCAGCACCGGTGCACTCCATCACAGATTCAAGTAAACTTAGCAATTCCAGCTGATCCTCCTTCATAATACGGTCCTTTCTTCTGCTTTTCTTTCTAGCAGTGGTGTCCTTCTCTGTTCAAACTCTTTTACCAACACTGCCTCCTCTAGGAAGACTTACTGTTATTTCAGAATCTATCCAGGAAATTCACAGACTGATCATTGCTGTGAAAAGCTTGGCACTGCTGGTAAAGGGGCAGGAAATGTTCACAATGAAGTCATGGGAGGAATAGCAAGTTCTGAGTGACAACATGGGGATAAACAAATGGTGGGATTCGGGGAAATTCAGGTACTATTATTCTGGGTTGTGTGAGTTATTTTGTGTTTCCTTGCAAAAGCATAATGATGGATAATGGATTCAAAAAGCCAGAATCTCTGGACCAGGGAGTTCTTGCTTCTGAATCCACCACACATGTGAAGAACAAAGTATTGAGTTTCCATGAAGGATAAACATACACATAGCCTCCCCCCGCCCCACATACTTGTTAACTATACCCCCAACAGAGCACAGGGGCACTTCCGGAAAGAGGAAATGTCAGAGATTGATCACACTCTACAGTTTCATGGAGGACCCTCCAAGGCAGGGCAGAAAAGCTCATCTTTTAAAAAGACCAAACACCAACATCAATAAACAAGATTTATATTTAGGGCAGATATTGAGGTGAACATCCAGATGGGTGGGTTGGTGAATTGTAGATCACTGAGAGGACTGTAAACCAGGAGATTAGAATAAGTCTCCTATCACCAAAAGATCATTTAGCCTTTGGCAAATCACCTTGCCTTACGGTCTAGCATCTAGCTATAATCTTTTATGATTCTAGCAGTCCTTCCTAGTTGTTATATGATATGCTTCTCTATTGTTTGAAAGCAATTTACAAGGCCCTACCACATCACCTTCCCCAGTTGTGAATTTTCCTATGAGCCGCTGCTTATATGGCAAAAGTACATTTACTCTCTACTTGTGCTATTGTTCTGTATGTGTAAAGAACAGAATGTCACATTACAGAGCTTGATGGAATTGAACCAGGCCTTAGAGATCGTGAAAATAATTATCTCTATTACTAAAGAAGAAAAACAAAAACAACATCTCCCCCAAAATAAAAAACAAGAAAAATCCTGAGGCTTAGGGATATTTAGCCATCCTGTTGATGAAGTCAGGATCAAAAATCAGTTCTAAATTTAAAGATAGATTTAAAACATTTAGCATCTGTGTCCAAGGAGAACTTGATTATCCTTGGTTTAAATACTTTTATACCATTTAGTTTTTAGTTGATATTATGTATGAGATAATCAGTTTACATTTGCTTGTATCTGGGAAATAGCATTCTATACTGGAGATTTTGATTATCTTGCCTAAAAAAGAAATCATAACTTTAATTATTGGTAAGTCCTGCAATCTGGGGAGGTAATGATGCTCTGGATTGCTGTTGCAGTGGAAAACATTTTGGGAGGAAGCAAACAGGCAATTAGGTGGCTGAGTAACCCCAAGAGTGTTTATATCATCTGGTTCAAAAGTTTCCCAGAGCAAATGACAAAACTGGTTATCGGAAGTATTTTTAATTAGCTGAGCTGAATCCAAAAGGAGGAATAGGACTCCAAGTCAACAGAGGAAGTTTGTTAAACTTCCTATTTAAAACAGATGTTTTATCAGAACTCAGATTAATTTCTGGATGTGATAATAACAAGATTGCAACCTGGAGCAGTTAACAAAATGAGACATTTAAAGGAAGCACTGTGGTGATCATCTTGCTTTTAAATGGTATATGGAAGATGGGCTAGGTGTGCCTGGGGGCAAATTGCCCTAAGGGCAGCGAGTTCAAAGCTGAAGTTTGGAACAGTACATCCCTAAGCTGCCCTAGCATCCTTAGGAGGTAGGAAGCCATGGAACACAGGAAGCAAGCTATATCCAGACAAACGGATATAGCTTTCAAAGCAAGTGTTTCTGTTAATGTTTTCATATGGATGAAGACACCATCTTCTGCTGATGCACATATGTTGAGTTCCTGCTGTACAGTGTTTTGTCTTTGATGTGTAAGTTCAGAGTCTAGTCATTAAAGCTGTGTGATCTAATTTACTGAGAAGATCTTTAGAATTTAAGCTTAAGGATTCCCTTGCTGAGAATTTGGCACAGTAAAAACATAGGCAATGCTAAAGAGGTAAATATTGCTTTCCAGGTAGTACAGATTTCCCACTGCATAGCCAAAGAGCCCTCCTAAGGGCTGGGGATTTAGCTCAGCGGCATAAGTACCTGCTTGCAAGCAGGCAGTCCTGAGTTCGATCCCCGGTACCGATAAAAATGAAAAAGACAAAACAAACAAACAAACAAACAACAACAACAACAACAAAACAAAGAGCCCTCCTGGAAAGAAACAGAATTCCAGTTTGTTGTGAGGTCATCCCACCCGTTCTAGTATTCAAGGGAAATTCCTCCCAAGTTTCTTCTCAAATCCTGTCTCATGCACACAGCTTTGGAACTCAAGTCACCTGGCTGGCCAGCAGTTTTGGGACACCACCCTTAGAGGATCAATAGTTAGTAAGGTCAGAAATCAAACTGCAGTTAGGAACTGATAATATGTTCAACTCTCTTTGCATGGAACTTGTAGCTAATATAATAAAAGAATGAACTAAAAAACCATCATTTCATAAGAATGTCATAATTATGAATATTGTATTTAACTTACTTCCTGAAGTGTAAGGAAACAGCAGCAAGATAAACTTGGGAGAGCAATACACAATACAGGAAGGTGCCTGTGAATGCATTTGGTAATTGTTAATGTCAAAAGCATATAAAAATTCAATCTCCCTCATATATGTGCTGATTAGGAGTTAGGAATTTTTTGGTTCTGATTTTTTTTTAAAAAGGAAATTACATTTAAAAATGTATGTCAAAGTGCCCAAATTTAAGTGTTTCTTTTAAGAGGTTGCTGATAAAGCCGACAATTAACTGTCACCTTTGGTCTCAATTTGCCTATTAAATACCCTGCAAATTACTAATGTGTGAGAAAAATGCATCTAGAAAAAGAAGAAGGTCATTTTGAAATCATACCTGATTATACTGAGCTCACTTGTCCTTTGGTCTTGTTCTGGTATAAGAGGAAGATAGATTTGGGGGAAGAATACAATTTGTTTAGTTTGTAACTTCAATAAAATGTACTAAATGTACTTTTTTTGTCCTAAATTGTAAGGGTGGGGGCTTGGAAATTCTGCCCCTCCTGTCTTACAAGAATATAATGACATTAATCTCTAAAGCATTTATTTATTTTATTTCTTGGCAAGTGTGACATATATGTATCAAAATGTTTTTCTGTGTAATAATTTATTTCAAATTTCAATGGTGTGAAGCATGTACTTCTCACAATTTTGTGTAAAGACTGAGTGATTCTTATCTGAGTAAGTCTGGCTGAGCTTTTGGGAAAACAGGTGATCAGCAACTATAGAATTAACATGTTTTATACATTTCAATTAATAGAACTGTCATATAGATTTTGCCTCACTTTCTCTAGAATATATTTTATTGTACATAAAACAAGATATTTTGGACTTAAATTGTATTCTTTTAAATAACATTTATGTACATAAATATTAAATACTATATTTTATTATTAAAGTAGAATTTACGCACAATGACCTGCTATTTGACATTATTAACTACTTCTGAGATACTGATCTCTATATTTCCATATATGGGGATTACCGGATCGATAATTTTAAAATATTGGAATGTAATGGTGAAATAAACATTTTTTCATCTGTGTATAAGCCCTTGGCTGTATATATTTTCATTAAATATAGATGTCCAATAGCTTTTGTTGTTATGGTGATTGCAAGATGCTAGAATTAAGAGAAGGTGATTCTAGAAGTTAGGATGCTTGTGTACTCAAGAAGAAAGAAGATATTGTAATAAGAGAAAATGTTCACCCTGCAGGAGGCATTAGAGATTATTTCTAGTGCCCTTGTTTTGTATAAAAGAAAAAAATGCACCAGCATTATGAATTACATCTACAATCAGGGCAATTATGGACTCCACACTTAATTTGTTTTCTGTGCTTTCTCAAGAGAAACAGGCAAGACACTAAGTCTATTTAGGGTACTTGAGACCTAGGTGGTTTCATTTTGCATTTTATGAAGTCTACTACATAATTTTTTAAAAGAAATATTTAGTAGGAAACAACATTTTAATCTTAGACTCTGATTTTAACTACAAAATGTTATGTGCTTTTAATTTTTTTCTTTTGGCTGAAGGTTTTGATATTTTTAAGCATTTTAAAGGAGTTGAAGCCGGGATAACTTTAATGAAAAAATGAGAATTTTAAGTTCCTACTATAGTGAAAAATTATATATTATATATATCTTAAAAGCTTCATAAAAGTTCTTATAGCCAAATATTCTCAGGAAAAATAAGACATTTGGATATTCCACTTTGCTTTTTTTAATCTCAAATGCAAGCCAAAAAGGTTGAGGAAAAGAAAGGAAACATTACCACCTAGTGGGCTTCATGAGGTAAAGCTACTGAAATCAAATTGAGAAATTCTTTTTAACAAGTTATCCACCATACAGAATTAGCGTGAACCTAAAGCTTCATGGTTCAATGTTTACTTAGATATTAATTTGTAAGTCAATATAAAATTTAAATAGGAGGAGATTGAAATGAAAGTGAAAATAACAGGTGGAAATTTCTCTGTGTTATGAATGAAGCCTGATATAAGTTTCTGCACTCAAAATACTGCTGACAGGAAGCTAATATTGACAGGAAGCTATGTTGACAGGAAGCTAATACTGCTTTTGGGTGGGGAAATCTGAGAATCATCTGAGACATTTTCTTTCCTCTGCTTTGGGTAATTTCAGTGGTGGTGGAACTCAGTCTCATTTTTCTCACTGATGTTCCTTGGTTAGTACAGTGTAGCATCCCATTGCCAGGTTCTCAAATGACAGAGAGTAAAAGTGATGATGATACAGATCTGTGTTAATATAAAAGAAAATCAATAAAATAAAGATTAAGTATCTATACTGTGGCTAGCTTATCTGAATTGTCATCTCAATCTATTTCTTATGGATAAGAATGAATTTAGAATCAGGCATGGTGGTGTATACCTGTAATCCCAGCATTGGGGAGACTGAGGCAGGAGGGTTGTTGTGAGTTTGAGGCCAGCCTGAGCTGCATAGTGAGTGCAAGATCAGTTTGGACTACATAGTGAAACCTTGTCTCAGAAAAAAAACAAAAAGAAAGAAAGAAAGACAGACAGACAGAGAGAGAGAGAGAGAGAGAGAGAGAGAGAGAGAGAGAGAGAGATTTAAAAACATATACTTTTAAGCAAAAACAAGCAGCCAAAGGCAAAAGTAAATCATTTGTGTGTACTAACTTCTTAGGAACAGAGAGTAAATATCTCCTTGTTACAACTTCAATCCACCTACTTAAAAGAAGAAATTAAAGCAGTGTGACTATTTTTCCTAACGGAGTTTGGCCAAGGAAACATAGTTATAGGAAATAACTGATACCACAGTTTAGGAACTTGATTCTTTACACATTTCTGTTCCAAACTGAGATGGACAAGAACTAAATTAAATCCAATAGTTAGGTTACATGTTGACCATTTGGGGGAATCAGATTCAGTTCTTGTCCAGTTTGGTTTGTGAGAGAATTGAATTTGTGGACTGAGGTACCATTTTTAGTCTATTTATCCATTATGAGGATTGTGTATTGCAATTACTATGCTTGTCTTCAGTTCCTACTTAGATACCATTGGTAACATATCAGACATGGTTTGGTTTCCAAAGGCCTTTCAGAACTTTAGGGTGGAAGTGTATAAGCCAGCACACAGAAGTTATCCCCAGATAACTCGGAGTACCACAGAGATAGTATTGGGCTCACACACTTGTTTCTGTTTGTTTTGTCATTTAACATTTACAATCTTTGGGTGAAGTGATATAGTACAGATCCTCATGTAAGCTACCCGTTGAGCTACAGGTTAATTGAAAATGCTGTCTTTCCTCTCGTTGTAGAAAGCATCATCATTCACCAATTGCGAATGAACTCCAGATGAGCTGGTAAACCCAGAGTACACTGGGCGTGTGGCTTCCTGTGAATCCCTGTTGAGTGGATAGCATGTCTGCAGTCCTCCACTGCCACCAAGACCCTCCACGCTACTGATTAGGACTGGAGATATTTTACTACTTCTGGTGATTTTTAAAAAAGGGTATCACATAAGAGCTGAAAATAGCCTTGCTGATAACATGAAAATATATAGCAAGAGCGACTGAATCTTTGTGGCAAGAGAAATATCTCCTCCTTCGGCAAAGCTTTCAGGTCCATGGGCACATAATATGTAATTTATTTTTTATAATACATTTTGTAATGTGGTTCCTTTTTTTCATAGTTTATGGCAAATATATCTGAAGAATACACTGTAGCTCTCCAAAGTATTGGTATTATTGCACTCAAAATGATAATGTAGTTATTTTTTGTTAATTTGTTGCTTCTGATGAAAAGAAAGCACAACAGTTTAATTTCCTAGGATAAATAAAAGTAACGCTTAGGCACAGGAAACTCTGGAAAAACTTTTATTATTATTATTGGTTGTACACTGCTATCATTCTGACCATGGCCCAAAACCAACAAACAGATAATGCTCTGATTTAGGAGTTTAATTTTAAATATTTAAAACCAGTTTTTGAAGTTGCAATTCTTGGTGTTCTGTGCCAGAAACTCTGGATGGACTGATTTTCATATGTAATAAATTAATAAAAAGGAGATGCACAAGTTTAATCAGCAAGGGAAACAGGAACAGCTTCGACTGACGATTTAATTATATTTCCATTTCATTATTTACTTACATGTACAAGATATAAGAACTGTGATGCCAAGGTATTTCTTACATTCTGCTCCAATGAAACTTGCAGATAAAACTGACCTAGATAATGTTAGCATCTTTTAAAAAATAGAAAAACACAAAGATGGATTAACACCCCCCACACACCACTTTTGATAGATTTTCATTGCCACGTGTAGCTAAGGAAATATATTCTTTAAAAATTAAAAGTACATTCATTAAAGACAAAAACCAAAACATCTAATGTTCAAATCTCAATGTCAGAGCTGCTGTTGAATTTAGGTTTGTGTGACAATAAAGTCTACTGGAAAACTTCAATAATTCAAATTTTTTTAAAATGTAGTTTTTAAAAAAAGATGGTTAGTGTGGACATGTTTTCAATAAGGTTTTTAAAGATGACTTTAAGATATTACATGGTTTCTCTTACACGAGAAATCCAAAATACACATAAAAAGCAAAGTAAAGATAGATATGAGGTAGGGAGATAGAGCTTTCTGAAAGGGAAAGAGGCCGGAGACATGGAGGAGGAGGCAGGGGAGGGAGGCAAGGCAAAGAGATGGAAAAGAATTAAGGTGTGTTATGTATGCATGGCAATCCTCACAGGGAATACGATCAGAATGTATTCCAAACATGGACTAATAAAAACAAACAAACATCAAGTTAAAGATAAATTAAGAGCTGACACATCAGTTTCTTAATAAAGAAAACAGTTACCAGGCAACTATATGGAGATTAAACAGAGAATGCTTCTGAGTGTCACAATAAGGAGCAGCACATGGGTGGTACCACTGCCTGATCTCCCCAGCCCATGTGTCACACCCAGGTTCTGAAGCACACAGGGACACAGAGTCCCTGGAATGGAAAAATTAGTGCTAAATTCTGTTCCTTATGTAACCTGAGAAGCTTTTGAGGTATACTTTGTGGAACCAGCAAACCATGTTCAACATGTTGTGAATTAAAAAACTATGTTTTGCTAAACTTATTTGTGCTTTTAGTACTTTAATTTTTTTTTGTGCTGAGGACCAAACCCAGGGCCTCATGCTTGCTTGGCAAGTGCTATATCACTGAGCTAAATCCCTTACCTCTATTTTTGCTTTAAAAAAAAATCAAAGAAATACTATAGTAGCCTTGCCCTAGCTTGACTGATTGTGGAAGCATCACATAACCTCCTGTGGCTTTGATTACTGACTCAGAAAACTAGAGAACATGTGCTTGAAGGTTTTTAAAATTGCTCTTACTGGGTTTTGTTTTGTGAAAAAGTTGAAATATAATGACATTTTTCAATTTGAAGACAGGTTTTTTTTTAAAGTATCATTACATTTTTTGACTCAGGTTAAATTCTCTATTTGCCAATGTTTATACTTTTGGTGGCAAAACATTAGGATATACCATAAACATTTAAAGTAAGTCATTTTTTCTCAACTTGTATAATTTTACTAGTGAAAAGGCTACCAGACAGGATTTTAAATATCTATCGAGTTCTAATTAAAATATTGCTAGGAACTTATGTATATTTGGGTCTGCATCTTGTTTCTCCTGAACTGATAGTGAAATTTGTACTTGCTGGGCTGTGAGGAGGGGGATGCATTTAGCCTGGTGCTGAGTCTTTTCTGTCTACACTGTGTCTAAACCAGAACAGGACCTGAGGGCCAGATGAGTCACATTAGCCACATTAATTCTGAAATAGAACAAGAGACTCTCAATAAACAAGATCAGAAATAGTAATGTCTTGCCACTGAAATCCAACTGAAAACATTGCCTTCATATGCAGTCCTGGTACTATGCTAGAACCAGAAATCA